CGAGGCTGAGTGCGCATCAGGGGACGCCCTGCCAGGCCCCCCCACACCAGGGCTCTCCACACTGGGCTGTCTGTGCGTGATGGCCTGTTGGGAGCTGTGACGGTGCAAGAAGCCGGCCGGCAGAGGCCCGGTCCAGGCGTCCTGTCCCCCCCGCCCTGTGCTCTGCGGCCCCGCCTGACACCTTCCCCGTCTGCATCTGCAGACCATGTGGCCGTGGAGATCCAGCTCAGGTTCATGCACAGCGATGTCTTCCTCACCTCCCACCAGTACCCCTTCTACGACTGCAGCGAGGCCATGAAGCTGGAGAAGAACCTGCCGTGAGTGTCACCCCCGCGCCCCCGCCCTGGCTCCCCCGCCTCCCCCTGCTGCGGGGCCCACACCCTCGCCAACCTCTCTCCCAGGTGCATCTCCTGTGCCAGCAACCGCTGGACCTGCCAGTGGCACATGCGCTACCATGAGTGTCGGGAGGCCTCGCCCAACCCTGAAGACGGCGTTGTGCCCGCTCACATGGTGAGGGGCCGTGGGCCCTGGTGGGGGTGTGGCTGCTCGTCCCAGGCCGCGTGGCCCTGACTGGCCTTACTCTGCAGGAGGACAGCTGCCCCCAGTTCCTGAACCCCAGCCCGCTGGTCATCCCCATGGACTACGAGACAGATGTGACCTTCCAGGGCGAGAACCTGGACGCAGTGAAGGTGGGCTTGTGGGGAGCGGGCTGACCAGGCAGAGAGGCCTGTGCCCAGCGGCCCTGGTGGCTGGCGTGTCCGTGGGGCCGGCTCAGAGCCGTCCTGCTGACAGGAAGGGGCACCGGGCCTCCTCTCCTGCAGGCCTCTGGCTCAGGCTTCCAACAGGAGGTAGCTGCTCGGTGAACAGTGCTGGGGACAGAGGAGGCAGGCGGGTCTGTCGAGGGGCTGGGCAGGGGCTGCCACTTAGCGAGGGAGCAGGGCGATTTGCTCAGGCTTGGGCCGGGGGGGTGGGGGTCCAGGACTGGCCGAGTGGTCGGCTGGAACGGGAGGACCTCCGCTGGCCCAGGAGGTGTGGGGCTCAGACAGAGCCCTGGCCTGGGAGCATGGGGAGTCGGGGAGGCGGGGAGGGCTGGCGGGCGCAGGGTCCTGACCACGGGCCTTGCAGGTCTCCTCCCTGCACGTGGGCAGTGACCTCCCCAAGTTCGAGGTGCTGGTGAACACGCAGGAGTCGGGAACCTTCCACTTTCGGACCCCGAAGGTACAGCCCCCAGGGCGGGGCGGGCCAGCGGGGGCCTCACTGCCTCCGGGCGGCGTGCTCACCTGTGTCTCTCAGACCCCAGCCCCTCCACTGCTGCCCCTCTGCTTGAGGGGACCCCATGGGCCTTTGTGGGCACAGTGGTCGCCCTCTAGGGCTGGGGCGGGGGTCAGAGTGCAGTGTGTCCCTGCGTGTTCCTCCAGCTGTCCCACGACGAGAACGAAACGCTGCCCCTGCACCTGTACGCCAAGTCCTACGGCAAATACATTGACAGCAAGCTCCAAGGTGGGCGGGGCCTGGGGGTCTGGTGGGCGGCTGGGCTGGGGCCCCGACAAGGGGCAGGCCTGTGGGCTGGGTGGGGAGGGGGGCCCTGCTGATAGCTGGCTGCTCCCTCCGCAGTGACCCTCTATAACTGCTCCTTCGGCCGCAGCGACTGCAGCCTGTGCCTGGCCGCCGACCCCGCCTACAAGTGCGTGTGGTGTGGCGGGCAGGGCAGGTGTGTGTACGAGGCCCTCTGCAG